AGGCCAGCTGCGCCCGCTCCCCACCGCCCGTTCCCGGCCGCCTCAACAGCGGCAGCCAGCACCACGAGTCCACAACACACCGACTCACCTCCGCGCACTCTGACCCCGACCGACGCGGCGGACGGGCGGGCGCTGTGGCCAACCGCTGAGCCCGCCGCAGGCCCCTTTGACCAATGGGCTGCAGCGGGGCGGGGCTTCTTCTCCCCAAATGCTCGCTCTCCCGCCGACATGCGCGCTAAGGTGTGTCAAGATGGTGCCTCCCGGCGGCTAGCCTTGTGGGACTTGTAGTTTTGAGGGCGCACGTACTCAGAGAAGGGCGGGGGGGCGGTGAAAGAGCCGAGCTGTGAGAGATTTTTTAAAGAACGAAAACTTTCTAAGACCTGGAGCCTTCTGGGTCCCCTCCTCCGTTTTCCCACTTTCCAGTATACCCACAGGTGAGTGTAGAGTCATAAAGTGACATGTTCTATAATAATTAGATGACACTTTCTCATGATCTTTTCACTCAACAAGTAATATCATTTCTCTGATGTGGGCCTGAGGGAGACCTGAGAGGAGGGGGCAGGGGCTAGGAAAGAAGAAAAGGCTTAGATTTCCAAAAGGGCTTTCGAAGGAAGAGAAAACTGACTTTTCAGGTCCGCTTCAAGGAATTTTAGGGTTCAAAGGACTCCGGCCTCAGCTGCGGAGAGTTTTCTCAGTCTTTCCAGTCAGCCAAAGCCAGAGACGTGCTTCTTCATCTTGGTGATGCCTCTCGGGAAGTCCTGGTTATGAGCTGGAAAGTCCCAGGCTTGACCAAGCCTGTGATGGTTTCCACAGCCTCCCAATCAGTCAGACCCATCGTTTCCCTGCTATCAGGATTATCTTCACTTCAGGTCAGGGCCCTTTCAAATCTAGATTTTACCTTAACATAACGTTGCTCCCTGAGCTGGGAATGTCTGGTAATCTCTATCAGAGAACGCCTCCCTTAATTCCATCCACATAATGAGGTAGGGGGTTCTACTGTGCACCTGGGGCATTGACCACATTTTCTTCTAACTATCTATATCCTTGTTATCTCTCCCCCAGGACTCTAAGATCCTTTAGGGTAGGTATGATTTCTATATCGTTCTTGCCGTATCAGTAATAGCCAATGCCATGGCAGGCCTAAAGCAGTCATGCAATGTTTGCGAACAAATGAGGAAATAAACAGCTGCAAGAACAGCTGTCACTCACCCCAAAGTTGGACAATGGTGGCACATCTGCCTATCCCCTAGTTTTTGGAGCTGGAGCTGAGTGTCCCTCTTCCTGCTATTACTTAGACAATAACTCCAATTGGTCCATCAGTCAGTATTATTTATAGTGCCTCTGCCAAATGTCAGGGAGTTGTTGCTGAGGATTCAGGGGTAAATAAGAAGAATAAAACCTGTATCCTCAAGGAACTTTTATATTGGAGAGAAGATGGGAGGGAGGGGGAGGATAGACAGTAAATAAGTAAATACAGAAGTAAGAAGACAGGGCCAGTCCGGTGGTCTGGTGATTAAGGTGACTGGATCCCACACAACTGACTGAGTGGGTCGTGTTTGGGACCTGGAGGCTTAAAAAACACACCAGGTGCATGTTTATATGCATAAGCATGTGCCCGTGTATAAGCATGTGTGCCCAAAATCCCAAGAGGAGAAAGGGATTATGACAAAGCACCCTGGGGAGTGCTGTCTTTCTCTCTCTCTGTCGCTCTCTGGTAAGCACACATACTCTGTAGCAAATTAAAAAAAAGAAAAAAAGAAAAGAAAGAAAAAAGACAAATCAGAGGCCATGAGATTATCTTTCCCATTAGCTTTGTTATGCCCTGAGTCCCAACCTAAGAATAGGGCATAGCCAACCTTTTTGGCTGTGAGAATGAAGGAAATCTACCAATCTGGATTGGAGATCTTTAAGGCTCAGTCCTCACTTACTCCATGCAGCTTTCCATGCTTCCCTTGACTTCCCCCAGGATATGTTCTTTCGTCCTTGGTGCTCTAGGGCTCAACTGTACAGCTTCTAGGACCTCACCAGACTTAAGCTCTTTTCGGATAAAAATCCAGACACATGCATTCAAATACTAGAACAGTTTAAGAGCTCTGTATATATTTATGTTCCTTGACTTACCATAGGATCCTGATAAATTCATTGTAAGTTGATAATAACATAAGTTGAAAATAGCCATTTCGTAGACATGATGGGATGAAAAACTACAAAATATTGGCAACATGGTACACTGTAGAGTATCAATTGTCTTCTCTTATGATAGAGTACAGCTGCCTGGCATTACAGGAAAACATTGTACCACATATCACTAGCCTGGGAAAAGATCAAAATTTCAAAATTTGAAGTGTAGTTTCTACTGAATGCATATTGCTTTTGCACCATCGTAAAGTTGAAAATTTGTAAGTTGAACCCTGGTAAGTCAGAGACCATCTGTGCTGGGTGCCTTGCACTGCTGCCTAACCCAGCATTTGGCACCCTCAAGCCTTGGCTCTGTTGTGTGCTCTCTGGTTCCCTAGAAAACAGAGCCTAAGGCAAAGCTTATAAGTTTAGACTTAATTGGGTAGTGTATTACCAAATTGGCCAGAGCTTCAAAGAAAACACAACTAGCTGCTCTGTCACACAGGATTTATTTTAGACTAGCTGTGTAAAACTATCACATCCCAGGGAGGAAGAAAGAGCATCACTCCCATAGCCACAGAGGGCACTGGATTCCACACTCTGATGCATAATGGCTCACCAAAGACTAGAAATGGTAAAAGGGATCAAAGCCCTAGGTTAGGTCCAATGGAGCCCTCTGCAATTCTACCACAATGGCACCTTAGAAGTCATCTCAAAACCTCATCCTTGTCCTAGGGGAGGCTAAGATAACCAACTGTGTTAGCAAATGAGGTGACAGTCTTGTCAACTGGACTGTCCAGTAAGCCAGGAGCCGAGGGCCAGAGTCTTGGTATAGCTAGGGCAATGAATTTAGGGAGGCAGATGAAGTGAGTCTAGTACACAGACACAGATACAGCCTGGGCAGCCTCCTGGCTGCTAGACCAAGTGGCTGAGCTATAAGCAGGACAAAGACAGGACCAAATTGGTTTTTCTGCTGTATCGTCAAACCATCAGTTAAAACGGCAAGGTAGCCATCAATGTGGGACCTTAACCAGCAATCAAAGGACAGAGACTATAGGACCCACTCAAGGACAGACAGAACCCAGGTTGGTTCTGAGCCTATTTTATTTGGGATCTGAAAAAAGTGCTGCCATCATAGCCCCTGTAAGCTACATAAGGCAGTGCAGTGGAGTTGCAGGGGTGTGGCTCAGAGAGAGCCTGTTAAGAGTCCTGGCTCCATCTGTGACCTTACACAAGTCACAACCCTCCCTGAGGTTCAGTTTCGGCATCTCTCGAGTGGAGATAGTACCATCCCTACTTGTTATAAATACAGAGGGCTTAGCAGTCTCTAATGTGGAGTTCAGTAAACAGTGGCTGTTATTCCTATTATTCTCATTCTTCCCCACGCCTCTCTCCAACTCCTTCCCCCATGACCATGGCCACCCCTCCTCCCCACCTATCCACCCCTACCCACCGGTCCCCCCCCCATGGAGGCTGGACCTGGCCGTGCCTTCTCCCCAATTTCCCTGGGGCCGTTCCCCTGGAGCCTGAGCCGTTCATCTCCCTGGTGACCTGAATCTGAACTAAGAGACGGATGTGGGGTGGCTGAGGCCAGGGTGGTAATGTGCTCCCTTATCTCCGTGCCCCTCACTGGGGCCTAGTTAATTTTCCCTTTGATTTTAATATAGATTTATTGAAAGTTTCAGTTATCAAAACAAACTGCAGCAGCAAATTGGTGTTCTTTGCAGGCCTACAAGTGCCTATAAAGCTGCCATGCTCGGGAACGAATGGCGCTCTCCGGGAGGTCAGTCATGGCAACGGGAAGTCCCCGGGGACACACACACCACAGTTTAATATTTTTCTTATTAGCCTTTTTCTTCTTGGCTATCTAAGCCTCCCCTTTAAATCGGAAATCAAATGGAGCCACCTGCCCAGGGAGGCTTTCTTTCCCAAGCCGCTCTACTCTCTGCCTGTTCTGTGGCCCCTCTCAAGTCCTAACCTTCCCACCTCAGAGGCTCTGACTTCCCACTGCCTTGCCCACTGACCCAAAAAAGAGTTGTGATATTCACTTGTCCCCGAGGTATGGCTCACAAGTGTCATGAATCCCATCTCCCTGTCCCAACTGTACAGTTTGCTTGGGCCATATAGCCACCAGTCAGAGGCAAAGGATCCTTACAACAGAGCGGGGCCTCAGGCTTCTTCCGGATCCAGTGTTCTGTGAGGGGAGAAAGCGAAGCGAGAAAGCAAAGGAGTGACTCGACAATCCTGTTGAGATTTACTGAACTCAACAGAAACACAAAGGACATCATGATCCTAGGAAGTGGGCAAGTTCTCCTCCCAAACCAAGAATTGTGTGATTATGTTGTCACATCCCACTGCCACTCCAGCTTGACTTCTCTCAATTTCAGCTTGATTTTTGAGATCCTCCACTCTGTCCCTAATCAGTCTCTAAGGATCAGCTCGGGGCTCGGTTTCCTTCCTTTACTATCCCAGTAGCCCCCATCGCTATAGCGATGTAAGATCTGATATTAGGCCTGTCCCAAAGAAGCACTCCCTGGCCTGGTAACCTTAAAGGCACCACCATCTCTTCTGGTTCTGAACTGCTACTGGGTTACCTATACATGTCTCATCCCAGTTCCCAGCATCCTCTCCTTGTTCTTAAAGAAGTTCCCTGACAGAAGCAAAGGCAGTCTGTGGCCAAGTGCCCTGACAACTGCAGCTGTGCCAATAGAAAGGTGAAAGGTGCTAAGGTTTGGACTCACATAGACCAGATTTTGAATCATGGCTTTAACACTTTCTGACTCTGTGATTTGGAGATCTTCTTTGCAGTTGGTTTCACTTCACTTA